AAGAGTTTGTAAGATAAACATCAATAAGAGCATACCTTCCTCCATTAATGCTTTAAATTGATTAATGGCTTCTTTTGGAACGACACCAATTTCTTCTTCTTCTCAACAGAATGTAAATTTTGCTGTTGAAATCATAGCAACACAAGATAAATTGCTTAGTTGGTGTGAAAATGAAAAAGAAAACAGGCACGAGAGAAGGAAGTGAAAGAAGGAAGCATTGTGGATCGATGAATAATGGGAACGGTATGGAGAAGAGGAGTGGGTGAGGAGGAATGGATGGTTACGTGATATAATGGAGAAGTGGAGAAGGAGGACGTTGGAAAATTGACTAATTTCAGGATTATTTTTTTTTTTTAAAAAAGGGAATTTTTGACAACAACGAAAAATCACGACACGTGTAAGATTTGCTTAGCCTCTTTTAATATATAATGTAATTTTAATTTATTATTATGGAGAAGTTGGTCAAAAAGCCTTTTGCACAGATGGAGATTGAGAGGTGGCCATGAGAACTAAATTCCTTTGTTTAGCCTCTTTTAATATATAATGTAATTTTAATTTATTATTATGGAGAATTTGGTAAAAAGGCCTTTTGCACAGATGGAGATTGAGAGGTGGCGATGAGAACTAATTCCCTTTTCGAAAACCTAATCTATACAAGTTTCATTCAGGAAAAATTGTAAATAATTCAGCTTCGTCGGATCAGGAACAGCAAAGTCCGAATTCCGTTCTGCTCTTTGGCGCCGGTTCTTTCTCTTTCTTATTTCTATTTTTATCTACGTTCTAATGCGGGACTGTAAATTCTAATTTCTTCTTCTTTTAATTTTCTTGTTTTATTCTACATTATTAATCCTATTCTGTTTTTTAACAGCATAAGTTGCCTTGTTTTCAGCAAAAAAGTGAAATAACAGGAGAATTAGAGGAATTTTCTTTTGATTTTCGGAGTTGAAACTTGAAAGTGCGATGGCTCTCCTCTTCAAGGTAACTTTGGCCTACTATGAGCTTTATATAAATCAGTGTGCGTTTAAAGTTTTGGTATCTGGTGTTTATATAATACTTGCATTTGTTTAAAAGAAATGAATTCCTGGGTCAAGTTTGGTTTAGTTTCCCCTGTTAATCATCAAAATGAAGTCCAGTTGGGTTTTTATTTCTCGGTTCACACACACAGACGCCTTGACTTTTGTGGAATTATAGTTTGATAACATTTTTTTTATGCAATTACTAAGCTATCACCTTATTTTCAACAATGGGGATCTTTGAAGTTTTTTTAATCTTCACAAAAATGGTGTCATATGCACTAGTGCCTTCACCTTGCTGAATTTGATGTGAATTACTCGCTTTGGTTGGTTTTTTCTTGAAAAATTTTATACTTCTTCCTTTTATTTATATATATATTTTGTAATTGAAGGATCCGAGCAAGCTTTCGGCTTATAGGGATAGAAGGTTTCCAGGTACGCAAGAAGAATTTGATGAGGTGCTTCAAAATTCAACCACGGTTTATGTGGGGAACATGTCATTTTACACTACGGAGGAGCAAGTTTATGAGCTGTTCTCTCGAGCTGGAGAGCTTAAGAAGATTGTAATGGGTCTGGATAAGAATACCAAAACCCCCTGCGGCTTTTGCTTTTTAATGTAAGTCCCTAGTCCCGTGTTTTCGTTCCTACTGCCTTGTAATTCATTGGAGCTTATATCTACAGTATTGCGCCTATTGATTTAATCTTATAGCTACAAAAATATATTCAAGAAAATTCTGTTTATGGAATACGCAGAATCCTTTACTTTAATTATCATGTTTTCAGACTTTCCTTTCTAATGTGCTGCTCACAAAATTTCAACTAGTAATCATGCTCCTTCATTATGTGAATTCTTTTGAGAATTTGATGAAAATTGTAAGATGTAGTAATATTCTGGTAACAGTTCCCGGTTGGCCACATCGGAACATGCATTCTTCTGTTAGAAGCATTTGCCCGTGCAGGGATTGTTGCACTTGAGACACGGTGCAATTAGTTATGCTGTCAGCCTTCTTGTTTTGCCACTTGCCTTTCCTTTTGTCATGACCATTCCACTTCCTCTTCTTGAGTATTCCCTGTTTTGTTGGCCGTACCATTCAAAACTAGTGGTATGAGATAGTATAAGCTCATTCCAACATTTCGCAGAAAGAAGTGCTGGGTAGAACATAACGATCATGTCAATGTATGAGCATAACCACTGTTCAAACCTCGTGGTCTTCTTAGTTTCTGTGTCAACAAGGTGTGGAGCATACCTTGAGAGTTGCTCGAATTTTCGCTCATAGTCGGTGAGCGGCATAGTCCCTTGCCTCAGTTGTAGAAATTTTGTCTCCTTGAAATCTCTCAGAACTAGCAAGAAATACTTCTTTGTCACTCTTCTTTGAATTGAGTCCAAGTTAGAGTGCATTGTTGTTCCTCAATTCTGTTTCGGGTGGTTTATTCTCACAAACGATTCGTTACTCCCCGTGAACATGAATTTCACAGGCTAAACATATTATGTGTTCGTGTAAGCTATAAGTTGGGAGATGCATTTGAGTTTCCAAAGCTATTACTCAGCTACAAATGTGTGCACTCATCATTAGAGGTAGCTGGTTTGCACCACCGATAAAGCTTAATCACACAAGTATGAGTGGGTGCTTGGTTTTGTTTGTCCAACCCTCCACTAATTATCTTTGATAATTCTGATAGTATATGAGAGGTTAGCATCCATTCTAGTTGAACACTTAGCACTAATTAAATAGCTAAGCATGTTAGATTACAGATCAAAGGGTGAATACTAGAAGCACAATTGTATACCTTACAGATATGAAGAATTTGAAGTAATTATAGGTATGGATTGATTGGGATGTAGCCGTGCAACCATCAGGAGCCATGAAGTATTATTCAAGAAATTGGGGAAAGATAAATTTCCTTTTTCGGAACAAAGATCAAATTTTTACCTTGTCTTGTGACGTCGTTACAAGCCAAGGAAATGTTGAAAGAATCTCATTAGGGATTCTTGACGAATATTTTTGGGAATCACAACTGTCTGTGAAAAAAATTAACAACGTATCAGTCATACCAGAATTTGTAGACATTTCCGGATGAGATACTTGTACTTTCCTAAATAGACAGGCTGAATTCACCATCACCTGGTGCCGGAAGAGTGCCCCTTTCAAAGGCTTTGCACTTAATGTCACCAAAAATCTCCATGGGACCAATATTCAACTTAAATACCTTTATAGTGGGAGTCAATGTCAAGATCTCGAGAATATTGATCCTTGGTCATTACTAAAAAGGGACTCAATGTCGAAGCTTTTTACCTAGAAGTACACAGCTGTTGTAAAACATTCTTTGGGGACTAAGTTTTAAATTTATGATATTGATAATTCAAAATTCCGAAGATGGGAAAAATAATGTTTTATACCTCAAATAGTTCTCTTTTAATTGGGCTAAATCTTTACGTTTGGCCGAATATTTTACATGTGGACTGAGCCCAATGGGCTTGTCTTTTGGCTAGCTACTTCTCACTAAAATATCATAGATAAATTTTATGTGCTTGATGTCATAATATGCTACGGAAATTGGGGGGCCTGCATGACTTTTTTTACTGTAGCGATATGCTAAATTGTAGTCTGAATGTGGTTCATCAGGTACTATTCCAGAGAAGACGCTGAAGATTCAGTTAAATATATCAGTGGGACGATTCTTGATGATCGTCCTATTCGTGTGGATTTTGATTGGGGGTTTCAAGAAGGCAGACAGTGGGGCCGCGGTCGAAGTGGTGGACAGGTGTTTTGCCTATCATTTATTTCTCTTGGCTATATCCAATAATTGCTCTAATTCATGTCTTGTTCTAGGTACGGGATGAATATCGTACTGACTACGATCCAGATATCCTTCTTGTGGCAATTACATTTTCAATTTTTTTGACTTTCAATCGGTTTTTTCCATGTACCATATCAGTACTGGAGGATATACACATGCTTGCTTCTGCATTTGAATTTGTTTTACATTCGTCATGCGAAATTTTTCTGCATTATTGGGGAAGCTGAGCAACATGATTATTGGGAAGTGACAAAGTGGGCTCAGGTATACCAGAGCGCGTACAAACAGTCATCTTTCTGCCCAAAGCATATGCACCTGCTTGAATCTCTTGCTTGTGCTTAATTTCTTTCTGAGATGACCTAGAGTTGAATTAATAAATGGATCTTGCACTCGACGTCTTTAGATAATAGGCAATTTCACAGATTCAGATAGGGGTACACTTTCCGTGGTCCACGTCCCCTAGGGTTCGAATGCATATGCTGTTCATCCATAGGGTTATGAGAAAGAACATGTACTGAATTTTATGTATACAACCGAGGTATTTTCTTTATTCTTACGTAGAGTGATTTCCTACCCGAGGAAATGTATTGCCTTTTCAATTTCCTTAAGTAACTATACGTAGAGGCGGTTAGATAATTGGCCATTCCTCTGAGTGGGACGGTACATCTTCACCGTCCCCCAGGGTTTGAATGCACATGGTGTTCAACTGTTCATCCATGAGTTGAAATTTATAGCATATATGAGCAAAAAACATATTGTACAGAATTTTATGGTTACCTACTTATTTTTCTTTATTCTTATATGAATAGAGGTCCCATAAGCAAATGCATTGCGTTTTCAATTTCCTTATCTAGTTATACGTAGAGGCGGTTATGGTAAATTAGTCCAGAGAGAGTTGGAATCTCAAAGGCAGCTAGTGGATTATGGTGCCGGATCGTTGGGCTCGTTCCAACCTGTTATGCCACCTCCTTGTAAGTCAAATTCAACTTCCTTTTTAATTTCCTTGTTCATTGCTTGTTAAAAAAGAAAAAACTAAGGCTTCTTACTGGATGTCTGTTATTCGTGCCTTTAAACTTCATTATAAACAGCATGACCTGAAAAAATTCTTAAAGTTATTATTTTGTGACATTTTTATTATCTTATGTTATTGTGAAGCATATCGAAACAATGTCTATCTATTGCTTGTATCTTTTGGTCACTGCATGTATGACTTTAGAGCTTTAAATGATGAAGTTCCTCCAAAATAATCACTATTTGACATGATGGGTTCATTTTACTTTCAGGCAAGAACATGGAACTTGTATGCATGATATATGGGGTATTTGAACTAATGAAATCATATGCTGACATCTTGGCTGAAGTACATTTAATTTTTCATTCATTGAACTCGGGACGCTTCTTGGCCTTCCAAGCTCTGTATAAATTTCTGCTTTGTTGATAGCTCATTTCTTCCGCGAAGTTTTTACCAAACGACGCCCTTACAGTCAATGACCTGCCTTTTCACCCTGTGAAAGCTACAATATAACACGACTGCTTAATTTTTTCAGCAATTATACTTGATGGTTTTGATAATATGTACAACTTTTCTTCTTCCTTGTTCAAACTGTCTCTGTACTGCAAGCTGACATTTAATTCTTTTAGATGGTAGACATGGTGGAAATCACTATCATGGAGGTTCTCACCGGCATGGCAGAGGTATTGTGCTCATTTTGAGGACATGGTGTATTTTTTTGTATTTGATTTCTCTATTGCTTTTACAATAGCTTTCATTATAAACATGGCACTTCATGTGAACAGACTACAACCGCAAGCGATATCGGGAAGATGACAACCGGGAGCCAGATATCTCGAAAAGAAGTCCGAACTATGATTCTAGGAGGAATTCTGATCGTGACTCCAGACCGGTATGTTTTGGTGGTCGATGCTCAGATCATTTATTTACATCTAACTCTTATTTTCCTCTGATAAACCCATTATTTCTTTATTTATTTTCGATCATGATAATTACTACATCTCATTCTTCGTCTTACCTTTCTTTCTTCTTTTTTCAATTACATCTTTCTCATTTTCGTATCGAGGAGAATATAAGAAATTATAGGAACTAAGGCTCTCTAGAACGATATAGCCCACATTTACGAGGATTGCATTTGTTACCTAGGAATGGCCACTGATGAAAGACGTTCTGTTATCGGTTCTCTAAACAATGATTTTCTTTACAGGAGAAGAATCCACGATTTCGTGAGAGCGGTGATTCTGACGAGGAGGAGGAAGATGATGGTAAACAACATCGCTGATTTTAGTGGTTAACATGGATTTAAGGATGTCAAAACAACTCTGTACTTGAATTCGATTGTGTTCTTTTAATTAAGAAGAAGTGGATGCTTCCTCTTATATTCTTCTCCCTTCCCCTGTTGAACCTGTCGGCACATATTGATCTCCTCTCCCTTGTCGAAGTCGTCTTTTTTAACGATCAATTGTAACCTTTGTTGCACGAACACTTCAATTAAGATAGTGTATCTGTATCGGATGTTTGTTGATACTGAGACTTCTCGAACAGTCTACCATAATCATTTTTTTTTAATTATAAATATTACATATTTTTAACTCAAAGTTACTAATAAATAACAAATGGATACTCGTATATAAAAGATTTCAATAAGAAAAATTAATAGCCAGTGTTTATACTATATACATGAAGAATTTAAAAGAATTTAATACTACCAACAGCCAGTGTTTTTGTTGGGAAAATGAGAGAAGAATTTGTGTACACTATTAATGGAGTTAGGTGAGTGATTATATTTAGAGTGTTTGGTGGGGATTAAAATTAGATTTTTAGTAGATTGTGATAGAAATTTTTGGAATGTATGATTTTAATCCGGACCAAACATGGGCTTCATCTCGTCTTCCCTACAGCAAACTAACACTTCAAATTATTGAACTTTGAATCATAATTATATAGTTGATGTAGGTCTTTCATTCTTTTAAAATTCTTTTCTTTACATATTCATTTTTAACTAAATATTCATATTATAAAATATTCTACAAGTAAATTCAATTTTTTTTTAAACTATACATTCTCCAAAAGTTTACCATTCAAAATAATGTTGTTCTAAACAAATTACCACCAAACAGGGGCTTACGTGCACAATTAGTAATATCATACACGTGAAAACCATGACAACATCGATAATGTCGGTTTTCGAGACACTAAAAAAAACATCTAAATACCCACCTTAAGACTTCATTCGCCGTAGTTTGTTTCCTTGGAAGAGACTGAGTTTTCATCAACCGGAGATTCAGAAGGAGACTCCAACTGTTTTTCTACTTTCAACACCTGCTTTTACCTTTCATCAATTAGCAATTATGTATGTATATATGCTCTTTATTTATTATTATTATTATTATTATTATTATTATTATTATTCAAGTTTGGTAGAAATTAAAATTCAGATTTTAATCTCAAATCACTAATTTTGACCAAACATTTGATGAGATTCACAACTTTTTAATAATACATTTCATTAATTTTTATCAAAATTTATTGAAAAATTGATTTTAATTCGATCAAACAGGGGCTTAAAGTTGAGTGTGGAATTTTGCAATCAGTAAATGTTTGTGAACATGTAAGAATTTCGGTTTCTCAAGCAAAAAAATTAATGAAGTAATTATTTGAAATTTTAATGGTTGGAGTAGTGTTTTTTAAAAAGAAAATGTGTGGTTAAAAAGATTTTTTTTGGAATTACGTGTAATATTATTTTATTAAAAAATGCGTGGTCGATAAGAAAATAGAGAAAAATGAATTATAGTTTTAATGGGGCTAAAGCAATAAACTAACCTCATCAAGAAAATTCTTGAAAAATTGGGCAGTCTTAGCTATTTCTTCAGCCAAAATTTCAAGAAAATCCATAACTTTTTTGGGAATTCCATCTCCTGGAAGACTCTTGATAATATACTTTAGAATTTTCTCTATTTCCTCTGCTATCTTTTCCACAATATCCATATACCGTTCTACCATTTCCACTGCATCAATTAATTAACTTGCAGTTAATGTATGAAACAATAACCCAACTTTTTAAATTTAAATAAGGAGTTGTTAGTTTGAAACATATTTGGAGGCGATTTGGGACATTTGGTGATCAATCAAATTGCAATTAATTAATTAGAAGACTTATAAGAGTAATAGGAGGTGATTCACAAGTTTCGGAAACTGAATCCAACATTTGCAAAGTTAGGAATGAAAGAAGGAATCAAAGGACCGAAGTGCGAACGGAAATAAACTACCCCTTGCGATCGCAAGCCGTATCACCTTTGTGATCGCAAGGTGACTATATCAACATGTATGATCGTAGCCATTTGTCCTGTGCCATCGCACATGAATTCCGATGGCAGGATAATTTGTTTCCTTCTTTGAATCAACATCTTCTCAAAAACTAATTAGGACACGAATTTTGACTTAATTCTTGTCTTATGAATATGTTCTTTCATTTACAACTCAAAGGAGGAAGCTTGGTACACACAAAATACATATTTTAGAAGACATTAGGGAGTAAGTTAGGAGGCTCTTATGCATATGAATCCATCGAATCAATAAATAAAAAAAAAAAAGAAGAGCAAAACCTGAACCTGACTACTTACCTTTAGCTTCCAATAAGTTCCTGCATTTGGTGCTCAAATAGGGTAAAACTGCTTTGAGCACCATTTCAAGAATCCAAATTCTGCTGCATGCATCCCTAATTTAATATATGATTTAGCAGATTAATTAATTTGAAATTTAAATATTAATAAATAATAAGAATTACAAAAAAAAAAAAAACTCACAAGAAATTGAATGGTTGACGTTGACCAGATTCATCAGAAGGCAATGGAGCTTCTTCTGGTACTTTTGAACTTCCACAGACAATGAAGTTCCTAAAATTGAAAATAATACAACTCTGATATTTACCTAATACCAACAAAAAATATATAAATAATTAAAAAGAATTTAGTTACTCACCTTTTAACATCAAAATCCAATGTTTTGATTACTCTAATGTTTTTTTGGAGACATGGGAAGCTGATCTGCTTAAAACTGATGCTTTGATTTGAGATATGAGTTTGCTGAATCCTAGGATAAGTCGAATTCCCAACAAAACTTACACCAGCTATTGCCATATATAACTGCTTTTAATTTATAAGTAAACTTTTCTGAAAATAAGTTTGTAAGTTGGAGTTAATTTCTGATTAACAATATGGACAAGCTCTAAATTTATAGAGACAATCATGGTTTGAGTAGTTGATTATTAATTCCACTTTGATAATTTACTTTTCTTCACCTAATTCAATAATTAACTATTGACCAATTCATACTTCTAAAAAATATATTCTTTTTCTAAAGTCTCTCGACTAATAGACATCAGAAATTTCGATATTTGATCAAAGAATGAAGAATGAAATGGTATTGTAAGATTCTCAAGAAATTTTACTTGAAAGTCGACAAGTGGTTCAATCGAATACTTTGATCCAATTAACTGTATCAAAATTGGATGAATAATAACACTTTTCCAACACGGAAACGAGCCTTAGATGCAAAATTCACGGAATAAAACCCTTGAGCCTATTGATTTTTAGCCAAATTATGTCATTTAGACAGTCAAACGAACACTTTTTTTATTCGATGGAATTATAAACATACCTAGATCCATAGATTTCTGATTCTTAGCATGAATGAGTTACGA